CTTTGGGAAATATCTGGGGCTGCCTTCTTTTGTCGGACGGAACAAAAAGGCGGCATTCGCATACATTGAGGATAAAATTAAGCAAAGGGTTGGATCTTGGAATAAGAAGTTGCTAACGCAGGCCGGGAAGGAAATATTGTTGAAATGTGTGGCCCAGGCAATGCCAACTTTTTCAATGAGTGTTTTTCTTCTACCAATATCTGTTTGTACGGCTATTGAGCGTACTATGAATCGGTACTGGTGGGGGTCGGGTACGGATCGTGGCATACATTGGAAAGCCTGGGATAAATTGTGTATCCCAAAGAAATATGGTGGACTGGGATTCAAAGATCTAAGGGCATTTAATTTGGCAATGTTAGGAAAGCAGGCATGGAGGCTGCTCACTAACACAGACTCATTGGTAGCCAAAGTTTATAAAGCAAGATATTATCCAAAGGATACTTTCTTAGAGGCAACTATAGGAAATAATCCAAGTTTTTGTTGGCGCAGTATCATGGCAGCGAAGGATCTAGTATGTGGTGGCATAAGAAGAAGAGTTGGGAATGGAAGTTCTACCTTGATATGGGAGCATCCCTGGCTAAATGATGAACTGGACCCTATGATTCACACGGAAATGCCGCAATATCTGTCTGGGGCCAAAGTAATAGGGCTAATTGATCGCGATACAGGCACCTGGGATCCGCATATATTGGTAGATATTTTCCAACCAAGTGATATACCCAGAATTCAGAGTATACCAATTGCCCCTGAGTATGATGATATATGGTATTGGTATGGTGACCCTAATGGATGTTATTCAGTCAAGAGTGGCTACAGGCAAATAATGGGGAGTTATGAGCATAATTCTAATGGTATTTTTAATGAATGGTTATCCCTATGGAAATTAAAAATACCACCAAAGTGGAAGACATTCTTGTGGAGAGCTATTTGTGATATCCTTCTTACCACAAACAATCTGCTTATAAAGAGAGTGGATGTTAACCCATTGTGTGCCATGTGTGGAAATGTGAATGAAGATACCATGCATGCATTAGTTTTGTGTGACTATGCACACTCCATTTGGGCAAAATCCAACCTTCCAATCCCCAATATTATCACAAATATTTTCCATGAATGGTTTAGTGCAATCTTGAATGTTCTAGACTTTGATGGAATTGTTTATGCAGCTGCAATTTTATACAATCTTTGGAGGGCCAGAAACGGAGCGGTTTGGGATGCCTGCCTACCAACACCAACGAAATTATTGTCAGTGGCGGCTGCCACAATGAAAGCTTGGAAGGATATTCACCATCGCCACTCGCCGTCACAGCCACGGACCGCCAGCCACCACCTCGCTGCCGAACAGCACCCACTGCCGCCGCTGGGACCGAACGCCGAGCCTGCCGGGAACGGACTGCCACCGCTGCATGCTGCCACGTCGGAATCCGTGATTGGCGAGATGATGACACCCGTCAAATGTTATGTGGACGCGAGTTATCATCGAGGAACCAATGTCGCGGCTGTTGGTGCGGTACTCCTCGATGCCAATGGCCACTACATATCCGCCTTCAGCGCCCCGTTAGCAGGTTGCCACTCACCGCTCATGGCCGAGGCTTTGGCATGCAAAGAAGCTTTATCATGGCTTAAGAGGAGGAATGAGCTATCTATACGGATTCAGACGGATTGTCAACAGTTACAGTGCTACTTATCTGGGCCACCACCCACGTTACGCTCGCATTTAGGTTATGCCATCGATAGTTGCAGAACCTATATGTCTGCCTTTAATTATTGTTCAGTGCTTTATATTCCTAGATTACAGAATTTATTAGCTCAAACTTTAGCTACTTCAGTACTTAGTTTCAATACTGCTATGTACTGGAACAATGTTCCACCAGACTCTATTTTAACTCTTCTATAAATACAACCGCCAGGTTGACTTTCAAAAAAGCTTACATTTTTTTCTTATGAGTAACTATTCAATCTTAAATATTATATTTTGCTTTAAAAGTAATACACTTTCCTTTATAAGGAGTGAATTTCATTTTTGGTCCTACTGTTATAGGGGCTTTTCCAATTTTAGTCCACCATAATTATTTTTGTTACATTGCGTCTACTATTATTAAAAAGAGTTAATAACCGAAGTAGTCCATTGACTATGCTGTAATTACCAATTTAGTCATCGACTACTATTCTTACTCGATTAAGTCCTCAACTATGCACTTTTTACCCAATTTAATCCTCCATTAATTAATCTGTTTGTTGACTATTAAAATTGAGGGCAAAATTGTAACTCTATAAGCTCTCTTCCTCCTTCCCCATAGAGCAGCCCAAACCTCCGCAAATGAAACTTCGCAGGTTTCATATTCTTCTCAGAAAGGAGAACGCTGCTCTTAATTCAGAATCTCATTACATGACTGTTGAGAAGGATGAGCTTAAAGAAGAAAAAATTGCACTGGAAGCCACTAGTACAAATTTAACCAAAAATATAGGACTATTAGCATCTGTTGTTCTAAAAAGAGATTGCAAAACACGCTCGGTGGCATTTTTGTAATTCTGTAAATAACATTATCAACTGTTATATTAATACAACAGATGCTAACAGTATAATTAAAAGAAAACGGTGACTTTTGGAGACTGTTCTAAAATAAACAGTAGTCTCTTCTAACAAAAACCCTATTTCCCCTTAGCTCCTCCGATCCCCAATCTGATTTCTCATTAACTCTCCTCAGTCGACTGCTAATAGAAACAACGATTGAAGGTGGTGACGGCGTCTGACTCCTCTCCCTCTTGTCGATGACGGCGGTTGAGCATCAGCAATTTGAGCAACGGCAGTTTACATCTGACGAGAATAGTGGTGGCGGCGAGCAGTAGCGTCGTGAGCAGCAACAACGACGACGTGAACTGCGGTGACCCTACCAGCTTCGGCGACCATCTCAATATGCCCAGATCTATTTTAATGCTCTTACGTGCTCATAGCCAACGGGAGCTAGAGCTTTGTTGTGGATCTCAGAGTTTATTGCTTGTTATGTTGGACTCTGTCTCCGTTTATTCTTTTATGTGCTTATTATTTTTAGTATCATGGTTATGAATTATTGAGTATGTTTTAGTTTATGGATGTTTTGCCTAAATGTTGTGTGCATAGTGGTTCGTATACTTTGATAAATTAGTTCTTTCCTCCCGTGTATCATTTGTGGTTAAGGCTTCATGTCTGGCATGATTTTTAAAATTTACTTTGTGGCTATTGGACTGAATGCATTTTGAAATGTCAGAAGCAAGTATTGCCGACTCTAGAAAGTCACCTAATTTCCACTATTTTTAATTTATTTATTGTTTTATGTTTACTATTATTATGTAGTATAGGCAGATGAAAAGAAAAATATTGAAGGAAGGATATTGATTATATAATACATTTAAGAGTCAAATGATTTCTCTTGGCCATTACATTCTATCATTGTCTAGAGTAACCATTTGCTATTTATTCTCATCCCCGCCCTCAAGAGTCAAATGGTAATCAGTTTATGATGGGTTATTTTTTGCTGTTTAGACCCCTAAAGATCAATTTGAACTATGGATGCCTTTGTCTAATCAAGGATGGAATCCCTACTACACTGAATCTGGTGTTGTCTCCAGTAAGTGATTTCAAAGCTGTTAATCAGTCAATTAAATTCACTTATTCAGTAAGTGATGTTGGTGTCATGGCTTGGCTTTTCTTTATGTAATTTAATGTTCATTCTCAAGCAGCATTACCCAAAAAGTCTGAGAATTCTGAATGCCACTCTTGTGATTTCTTATTTGGAGGTAAATCCTGTTTGGCAAGATTCAATGTACCTATAATTGATTATTTTTATGATAAACTGATAATATTAGTTCTTGTTTTAAGTTGTGACAATTCTAAAGTGTAAGACTAAACCTATTTTATATTTTGCTGTTGAATTGCTACTATTTTTTGGTGGGGGTCATGAAGCACTTCCATGGATATCTTTGATGTGGATCGCTCTATCCATATTTCAAAATATGATATATCTATAGTCAAGGAGCTGCCCGATGAATTTTCTTAGAGCACAAGGGACTAATGAAGTGCTGCTTCTTCAGCTCTTCATTCATAATAGCATTATTAATATAGTTTCTTGTGAGAAAGGAAATGGTTCAACTATGAAAGACTTTATTTTGAAAAAATTTTGTGCATTAAGGATGTAGTTTTGATACTATAAAATTGATAATACAATAATGAACCAGCTTTATGGCAGTATAATCTCGGGGAGCATAATAAATTGCAGGCTTTGGACACAGGAGAAGATGAAGTATAAGCTTTGGTAAGAAGATGAAGTGTCATAATTCATAAATCTCACTCTGTTTCTCATTCATCATTTTCAAGACAGGTTGGCAGTTTAGAGAACATTATCAAGCACTCTCAGCTTGAGATCATTGAGCTTAAACATTCACTGGAAGAGCAAAGGTACCTTCTGTTCATCTTTGGTTGTATTGGCATGATGCTATATGATTAAAGAGTAAACCCCATAATTCTGTGAGTTCTATGAGGATTCTATCATAAATATCTCCACTCTCCATAAATATGTCTAACTTCGAATATGACTCTTTTGCATTTAGTTTTAGCCCTATCCCTAATAAGAAAAACATAATTTTAAAGATAGATGAATTTTGTATTGCATGTCTTTGACAGATAATTTGATTTGTCTTCTATTGCAGAGCATTGAGATTTGTTGTCTGTATGAACTTAACACAGTATCTTCAAACATAATGATGGTATGTCATGATCAAATTGCTTTGATGTTTGAGTTTGTTGATCAGTATATAGATATTTTCTTGGCAGTATTTGTGGAATAATTTTACAGTAATATATTTCTTTTGTTTTTGGCAGATATCCCAGAAATATAGTTTAATTTATGTGTTTACATAGCTTGAACTTGTATTTGTTTATGACCTCGAAACTACTACTGTAGTATACAGAAATAGGATTATCCCATACCCTATTTTTTTTACTGTAAGATTCATAAATTTTAATATATTTTTCAGTTAAATAATCTGGTGTTTGTTGTTAATCTTGTACGGTATTAGCTGGCCATGATTTTTTTCTTCCTATGAAGTTAAGATGTTTGTGTTGTTTATTGCATCAACAAAATGATTTAGTTTCTTCAAAATATTCTGTTGCTTCTACCCTCCTTCCTCCTTCCTCCTTATTCTGATAATTCTTATTAAATACTCTGCAGTAGAGGTACAAATTTCAACATCCACAGCCAAAGAGACCAAAGTCACTGAGAATATATGAATGTCATACTGGAATAAGTAGTTCGGTGGGCACCACTCCTTAAATACTTATATGCCTTACCTATTTCTTATCTTCTAGTAGACTACATATGATGGTTGTATATATATTTATGCATTTTCATGGTCTTGTGCATTTCTAGGTTTGCCTTACACTTCAATGCAGTAAGTTTATATTTAATATTATATGATCCTTGGACTTTTGTAGGATGAATCTGATGAAATGTTAAGCTGAGGTTTCAAGGATCAATTTATGATGACTATATATATCTTCCACCAGAGCTTGAGGCCAGGTTATCACTATTTTTGTGTGTGTACATTCACTCTAGCTTCCTCCATACATGCATAGATGCTTAACTTCATTGAAGCTATTATAGTCAATATACTTGATTTCTTTCTTTGGGGTACAATAATTGCATGCGTGATGTGATGTACTCTTGAGATGATTTTGTTTAGAAAATATCATGCATTTACTGATTGATACTGAAATTAGATTACATGCTACATTTTGTTAACATTAAGTATAAGTCATTTATTGAAAGTCAGATTTATCTATTCAGGTTGTTGATTGAAATTTATTTTATTTATTATTGTTAGACTTTTTTTTTTTGAATGCTATTATTGTTAAACTATTGTTATTAAATATTGTCAATTTGTTGATATGTGTTGTAGTGTGAACAGGTTATTAATTGAAATTTATTTTATTTATAATTGTTAAAATGTTATTAAATATTGTGAATTTGTGAATGTGTTGTAGTGTGAATTAGAATATATTATTATCAATTGATGGATTGAATTGATTATGGTTGATTAAATTTGATTATGTTGAATTTGGTTGAAAGATTGAAAGACAATGAACTGAGCTATTTTTTTTTTTTTTTTATAAAAAGGATAAGATAGGCGTCAACAGACGCCTATCCTATTTTTTAAAATTTTTTTTTAATACTATAGGCGCCTGTTTCTTAAAAGAAACAAACGCCTATTGTCAACTTAGGCGTCGGTTAACAACAGACGCCTAAACTATAGACTATCAGTGTCTGGTTCATAGGCGTCTGTTGTAAAACAGACGCCTTTTGCCTTTTACAACAGACGCAGATGACCTATTTTGTACTAGTGAGCCCAGATTAAGAACCTGCAGACTGAAATAAACGAAACAATTCGTTCCCAAACTACCAACATTGATATCATTACTTCTCCGCCACAGCTAACAAATGACCATCTTAGAACAAGTATACATGATTATGCATCATCCTCAGCTGCAGCTACCAGACCCGTTTTGGTTGTGCCTTTACACAATGACCTTCAAATGTACAGCACGACTAACAACGCAAAGGCTTTGCAGAATCTCCCACCCAGTGTGAGTAGACCTCGCCCACAATACCCATCACCCTCGGATTCATTGCCATCTCGTGTGCTCAATGTGGCATCAAGCACAACAGAGGATAGAACCACATTATTGCATGAGCTATTACCATCATCACAGTGACCCTGCAACTCCATGTGTAGTTGATTGTTCGGTCTCAAGAATCTCTAATTGCTCAACTGATTAGTGTAAATGTGGTTATCGTTCTTGATTTCTTTCGGTTTTAATGGGTTGCTTTCTTTAAAAAAAAAAAAAAAAAAAAAAAGAAGGTGGAGCGTTCACCGGACGGGCATATCACGGAGATCGTGTATAAGGGCGTGCATAATCACCCGAAAGCTCAGGTGACGAGTCTCCGGTGATCGCTGCCGTCGTTAGGAGCGGAAAGCTGTTCGTCAGAGACGATGGCCCAAGGGGGCGGATCTTATTGTTTCAGAGCTCAGGCTCCGATATGGGCCAACATTCAGCACTATGGTTGTATACAGGAGAACTAAGATAGATGTTTTATTATCCCTCTTTTGTGAGCTTCACTATTATCTTTTTCCTATTACATAAACTCCATTTCTTATCTGATATTATCCAAACCCAGTTCTCCAACTCCATCTCCATCTCCATCTTCATCAACCTAAGGTATGTTTCATACTTTCTCCAACATCACTCAATTCCATTTTTTTTTTTTTTTTTTTTGCTTTGATATATATAGTTTAGCATTATGCTTTGCCCTCTCAATTCACTAAGAGTCCGTTTGAAAACTCGAAAAATGACTTCTGTGTTTTTGGAATTTTCAGTGTTCGGATGCAACAGGAAAATTCAGTCAACGGAAAACATTTTCCGTTGACTGGGAAAAATGAAGCCATTTTGGCAGAAAATGACTTCGGCCAAAATGTTTAAACATACAATTTTACTCATTTTTCTAGAAAATAAACTAAACACACCAGCCAAGCACCTGTTCAGAAGACATGTAGTAACTCTCCTATATGGGAGGTCATGAAATCGAACCTCCGTGGAGGCGTTGAGTCAGTAGCATTAAGTTCAAAATATTTATCTCATTTTGATTGAGCGATCACTATGTATGAAAATACATTTAAATAACATGGCCCCTCAGCATACAAACAATAGAAAAAACAAAAACTGGTAATGGTAACAAATTAAACTGTGCATTTTCTATTGAACGACATGAAGTTTAGAAAGTAGCTAGCTAGAAGATGCAATGATTTTAAGCCATAATGTTGCATTATGCACCATTATCTTCTATCTCTGCTATTTTCTTGCTCAATAATTGAGACTAATAATATGAGTTCCAGAAACACTGTAGAGAAGTTCAATATAATGGCTTATGCTGCTGTAACCACTCTAATCAAAATAGTAGAGCACCACCTTGTGGAGCCCAAACTACTTTCGATTTTTTATGCCGGAGGATTGAAGGTGGCGCTGCTTCAAATGATCGAGTTGCTGTCTGTCAATCTCTGCATTCTGCAAGCCTTTTTGGAGGAATGTAAGATGAAAATGAATGAAGGGGACACCTTGGCTAAGATACTGTATAAAGATATCCAAAACAAAGTTGCTAGAATATATATAAATTACAGAATAGAAAATGATCCAAAACAAAGTTGCTAGAATATATATAAATTACAGAATAGAAAATGATCTAAAAGGAGTATATTTGGCAGCTTATCTGGAAGAGAATGCATTTTTGGCTCGTGAAAAACTTCATTCGACCTTGAATCATGTGGTAAGAAATATTGAGGAAGTTAAAGAATAGATCCTGGCAGAAAAAAAAAAAAGATCTGGTTTAGAGCTTGAGATAGAAAACAACACAGTTTGGGATACCTACCGAAATGCTTTAGATCCTGAGAATGAAGTGATTATAGGACTTGACAGTGATATAGAGACGATAATTAACCAGCTCTGTTATTCACACTTGATGAGATCAGTTTTCACCATTTTGAGGAAAAGTAACATTGACAAGTTTCAGAAATATGTTGAAAATCCAGAGCAGAAACTACAAGTTATCCCACTCGTCGGGGAATGAGGTATAGGAAAAACTACATTAGCCAAAAGAGTTTATGGACATCCAATTACTATTGCTTGCTTTCAAATTCGAGTATGGGTAGTTGTGTCTCAGGTTCATAACCTCAAAGAGATGCTCATTGGTCTATTACGTTGTATTTCACCAATAACAAGTGAAATCTACGACATAGACGATGCTCAAATAGCTGAGCAATTATGCAGAAGTTTGATGGGCCAGAAGTATTTAATTTTTTTGGATGACATATGGACCACTGCTGCATGGGATGCATGTAAACAATATTTTCCATTAAGTCATATTATTGTAGTGCAAGTTTAAATAGGGCACTTTATGGCTACTTAGTGGTAGCATTAATGTTGTAACGGAAATAACAGTTTCCGTTACAAAGCCTATATTGATGGCATATAAGGCTATATAAGTATAGGTCCTCCCACTGCTCTGGAACACCTGAAACACACCATCTATACTGTCCGGAGACCAAGTGGGAGACAGCGTTACTCTGCAGAAATTGCTACTACGATTATTCACAATGCAATACACAAAGGTATCAACTATGGTTGGAGTTTTGCTCGATTCCTATGCTTCCGCTACGAGGTTAGATCATTACAATTATAATATTGTATAATTATTCTAACATTTGGTATCAGAGCCTGTTTAATCTCTGCCTAGTTGATAAATTTGCATATGATATATATTTTGAATTATATATTATGCAATATATGTTTTACTGCTGTTTTTTCCTCGAAAATTTGTTTGCAGTATGGATATCAGTTGCTATGAAATGTATGATACAGAAGTACATATGCATATATTCCTGTTATTGTATGCATGTTGTGAAATTTGCATCGGATATGTGTTTTCGAATATGAAGTATATATTTTTACTATTTCTCCTGTCCATATCATCCCAATGCATATCTAAATCGTTGGACAAAGAGATAATGTGAACAAATAGATAATGTGATATCGGAATAGCTTATTTGTTCACATTACTATTTTTACTATTTGTTCCTATTATCTGTCCTCGTTGTTCAAATGTGCAATCCATTCCAATTATTTGTTCACACGGATTCCACTGTCTATGCGTTCAAAATCACAAATTATATATATAAATATATATACCTGGGTTTGTTACTGTTGGTATATATTTTGTTCTTGCCTGGAATTGTTGTCTTTTTCCTTTTTCGGCGAGCTTTCACCAGAGGTAAGGAGCACTATGGAGTGGGTGCTGTCGGAAAACTGTGTCAGCAACATTGCGACTCCTATTTTGGTGGTCAACCGCTGTCTTCGCCGATGTGAAGAAGGTCACCAGCCGGCTATGCATGAAGAAGATGGAGGGTCGCCGGTGTTTCCTCTACCTATTTTCTACGATAGCGTATAAGCAGCGCCGTGGGGCGCTGTACGGCAGCTACCGGTTATTTTATTGTCCGGAAAGGTTGGCTGCCATTGATTTCGCTACTACGAGTCTACGAGGGGAGGAATGAAGTTGATGTGGCTTCCAATCGGCGACAAAGAGGAGGCTTCCCTTCCGGTGATGTCGCCGGCGTTCGCCTGGTCTGCAGTCCTTCGGCTGGGTGTGGTCATGGAGAAGGCATGCAGTAAAGGAGTAAAGACAATGAAGAGTCTCCATGGTGCGTTAATTACCAGGACTATGTGGTCCAATGGTACCCGGGTTGGACTTCCATTTGGAAGATTGTGAGTTCGAGCCTCAGTAGAGGCGTTATTAGCTCTTTGTGTTTCAGTAGGTTGAGAAAGTATATGAACAGATACTACATTGTAATAGAGCTAGTAGCATTCAAAAAAAAAAATTATCATTAATTAGTTTTATTTTTTAAATTGGCAAGTTTTGAAAAAGTTTTAATTATTCATCATATTACCATTCTTATTTTAATAATAATAACAATAATTTTTTTTAT